CCCCGGGAAATACCATGATAGTCAAAGGGCTTTATGGAGTGTGGTGGGTGGATTTAATAGGTACTTCTCTATTCTCCACCATGCATGTATTTATTCGTTGTCCTCCCTGAATCGAATTGCATGATGATGGGGGAAGAATGCTTATGCCAAGGGACTAAGTGAACAACTCACCCAGCATCTTTGATGTGACTCCTCGGAAACATACGCCAACCTTTCTCTCTCCTGCAGGGTCACATTAAAGGCTATATATCACATCAGCACCAGAAGCTGGTCGTCAGCAAGCAAAACCCATTCCCTCCGCTGTCCACGGTGTGTTGAACGTATGCACAGCCCTGAGGAGGGGAAAGCTGTGTGTTCCTCCAGTTTCTAATCACGCTGATGAAATCAGTCGTGTGCCGAGGCGTTCTCTGCAGCCAGGGGCTCTTTGGGGCTCCCATCTCAGGGATGCTGAGACTGAGTTTGGCAGCACACGGACACCTTCAGATCTCCGTCATCACTCATGACTAATGTCAGCCTCACAGAGACCTGGAATTCCTTTTTCAGAAAATGCAGACAGCTCCACTGGCTCTGGAGGTTGGTGAAACTCCTGTGAAGGAGGCTCTGTCTCCAAGGCAGCTGTATGTAGTTGACTTCTCACGAGTGTTGTTCGCAGAGGCGTCTTTGTAACTTTTTTTATACTTCTTTGTATAAAAGGATTTCTGAATTTATATAAGTGACATACTCTTTATTATATGTTCTGAGATACATCAATTTTTATATGTTTGAACATTTTATGAGATCAAAATGCTTGGTTAACTTAAGGCTTCTTTTTTACAAACTGAATGTAATTTGATTTAAATTTTCTAGGTATTATAGCCTGCCATTTTTTCAGGGTACGCACATTTCCTCTGTTTATGCAAAACTTACTAAAGAAGAGCACTCGATAAGCTATTTCAGTTCATCTGTGCAAACTTACCAAGTCTGAGAGCTGCTTGTCCGTTTGTGCAAAGAAAAGCTGCTCTAGAAAGTGTGGGTTTCCTCTTCCTCTCGGGGCCACAGCTCAGGGCTGGCACCCACGTGTGTGGTCCTCCCGCTGCCCAACGCACCAGCCAGGTGGGCAGCCTGAGACACGGGCCTGCCCTGTTTGCTTGTAAAGCTGCAGTTTGGTCAGGGTTCAGCGGCAAGTTCGCTTCTGCTCTGTGTGACCTCAGCTGGGGGCTCTGCTGGGGGTGCGTGGCCCACTCTGCAAGTGCATTGGGGCCGAGCTCTTGCCTGGCCCCCAGTGGGGCTGTGGGCAGGCTCTCAGTTCCGCCCCACATGGGCCCTTCCAGCCGCTGCTTGGGCTTCCTGGTGGCACGGAGCCAGGTCCCAAGAGCAAGTATCCCAAAGGAACCAGGTGGAGCTGGATACCCTTATGTGAGCCAGTCTCCCAAGTCACATAGTGTCACCTCTGCCCTGGGCACATCCAGATTCAAGCCCCCTCCGGATGTGGGGTGCAGAATGAGTGCATGCCTGGGGGTGTCAGGCCGACAGGTTCTCCTGGGCCTCCCGCTGCCTCTCTCCCCGTTCTCTGAGCAGGGAGGTGCGGCCACAGGGCAGGCGCAGGCCGACCTCACACTGCTGCTGGCTCCCGGACTTGGAGCCCTGCCTTCTGTTCCCAGGGCGCTGTTCTCATGGTGTTGACCTGCTGCTGCTCAGCAGGGACCATAAACATCCTTCCAACTTCTGACTGGAATTGCTGTGTGCATACCTGAGTTTCAGTCGGGGTTTAATAGCAGTAGGAAGCTGAGGTTTGTTGACACTTTCAGGTACTTTTGTGAACAGTAAATAGTGGCAGTGAAAATCACGGATTGACAGTTAACGGTAGATGATGCCTAGTCATACGTGGCAGTGGAAGAGACAGAACCTCGGGGGTCAGTGCCCTAGTGCTCAGACGTGGTCTGAAGGCCTGCAGAGCCCCGCGAAGGCTCAGGATCACAGGCACCTGTCACTGCTGGTGGTTTGCATGCTTCACCTTCGCCCAAGTGTAAATCAGTGTGGCCCTCCTAACAAGTCTTCTAAGGGGCTGGCCCGGTGGCACAAGCGGTTAAGTGCACGCGCTCCGCTGCGGCGGCCTGGGGTTTGTGGGTTTGGATCCCAGGCGCGCACCAACGCACCGCTTGTCAAGCCATGCTGTGGCGGGGTCCCATATAAAGTGGAGGAAGATGGGCATGGATGTTAGCCCAGGGCCAGTCTTGCTCAGCAAAAAAAGAGGAGGATTGGCAGATGTTAGCACAGGGCTGATATTCCTCACACACAAAAAAAGAAAACATGCATTTGCTGTGCAATGCAATGATATTTAAATGTTTTTTAAAGAGTGGCACAATTTCTTCAGATTTAATCCTGCTCCAAGGTAGAAGTAAAGCCAAAAACAAAACCAAAAGTAGGAGTGCCTTTGGTGGAAGACCGCTCCTCTCTTCTCTATTGGATTGGTCTGTGGAACACCTAGAGTTTCCTGGAGTAGAAAAAAATCTCTACTATAGTAAATCAATTTGTAATACAATTAATACTGTTTTGTAGAAGGATTTAATCATGTGGTCAGCTATACTTTTGATACGTTTGGGCAATTTGTCCACTTCTAACCACCCCCACTGCCACGCCATTCTAGAACCCCACGCTGCCTAGCCTGACTAGGGCAATAAGCTCCTGACTGCTCTCTGC